CTTGAATTCCCTTGATTGGATGTTCTTCTAATAAATCCGTCACGTCTCTTTCAAATTGCTGCAAATTAATTGGGTCTGAAGGTTTAAAAGGATAAAGAATTAATCGAATATGACATTTATCCGTCAATTCGGAATGTTAACTTGTAGAAATTAAATTTTCCGTCCGTTTCTCTTCACTGTCAGAAATGTATTCTTAACATGTCTAGATAAAACGCATCGAAAAAATTATTTCCAGTTGTTTGCCACTAGTTTCCTTTCCGCTGTCGCTATATCTTTCAGATGTGTTGTCGTTGTCACTAAAAACGCTCGATTTGCACGCACACCAGTATAATTGACTTAGTTTGTGTGTTTCAGTTATTTCATAGTGCGATACTCCATCTAGACATATTAATAATCTAATTCAATGTTATTTTAACCCAAGGATTTAGGCAACCACGTTTGTTCTAAAGTTCTAAACTTTTTTTTTTTATGGAATAAGGGTCAAACGAGCAAACCTGATGGCACCCATGAACGCTTGCAGCCTTTGAGAAAGGAGTACGCTCTTTTCTTAAAGGTTTGACGGTCGTATCGGTCCGGAAGTACCGCAGCCGATAACATGTAAAAAGAAAAACCTTTGATGGATCATTATCCACTTTCTCTCATTTTTCCTTATCCCTTCTTATATGACGTTATATTTCTTATGTGCCTTGCTGAAAAGTTGCCAAACATATGAATTGGTGCCTGTTACCACTTAAACTGTTAGTAATTGATACTATTGGATTTCAGTTACCTTTGTATTCAGTCCCTATTTATTCATTTATATATTAACTAGCTTTTATCGCTTGTATGTCGGTTATTACGGTTTCATAGTCTTATGTCCTTCCTCAAGAATCTGACCATCTTCATACCAAATTTAGCGGTTATTGATTCCCTATACAAAATTCCACCCCTCTTTTCAACCCCAATAAAGGACGATTTCTGGGATAAAAACTATCCTATGTCCTTTCTCGGAACTCAAAATATCTCTACACCAAATTTCATCTGAATCGGTTTCGCGGTTTAAGTGTGAAGAGGTAACAGACAGACACACTTTCGCATTTATACGATTAATATTAATATGGATTTAATAATTCCGAGGTGCAACATAGAAGTTCGTGCAACCTTAATTGTTACCAAAATAAAACAGCAGTCTATACGCGGTTTTCTGATATAATCGGAGGGACTTCCACACTCAATTATTCCACATTCAAGAGAAGTCCGCTATATCTAGTATGCCATGCAATTTCATTTGTAGATTATGCATTGTTTTTCCGTATATAGAAATCATAGATAATTTACGCTGTATTATATCAATTTCATAACTATTGCCTGATACTTCTTCAAATGAGTCATTTTCAGTACAAAATTTTTGCCGCTGATATTGATAGCAACCTATTTCAAACATGGCTTATGTAAAGACAATAATATTTCAGATGTTACATTTTCTCACATCAAAACTTGAGATTTGCATACTTTTGAATAGTGATATTTAAAATATCTATGCTAACTTAACCGCTTTATTATTTTTGTTATTTATTTGTCGCAGTACAGCAGCGCTATGTGAATGAGTCACGATGATTCACATTTGTGAGCTATTGTATTTAAAGGATGTTTAAACAATATATATTTTTTATTTAGCTTTAGGTAGTGTTTTACCCGACTGCGCGACGTTAGAGAGAATTATGTATATTTGTGAAAAGCAATTACAATGAATACCAAACCAAATTTACGTTTCATAAACACTATTCTCTAAGTACAACAGATCGGCCTTAAAATGAACATGGACAAGACGAAAATCATGTCGAATGTCCATGTCGCGCCGACTCCCATAGTCGTGGGAAACTCTGTCCTCGAAGTTGTTGACGAATATGTCTACCTAGGACAAACGGTCCAATTAGGCAAGTCCAACTTCGAGAAAGAGGTCAATCGTCGAATTCGACTCGGCTGGGCAGCGTTCGGGAAATTACGAAACGTCTTCACGTCCAAAATACGTCAGTGCCTAAAGACGAAAGGCTTCAACCAGTGTGTGTTACCAGTGATGACCTACGGAACTGAGACGTGGTCTCTTACTATGGGCCTAATCAGAAAGCTCAAAGTCGCTCAGCGTGCTATGGAAAGGGCTATGCTTAACGTTTCCCTGCGTGATCGAATCCGCAACGAGGAGATCCGCAGGAGAACAAAGGTGGTCGACATAGCCCAACGGATTAGCGCGCTGAAGTGGCAATGGGCAGAGCACAGCAAGGAGAACTGACGGCCGATGGGGCAGCAAGGTTCTCCAATGGAGACCACGTACTGGAAAGCGCAGTGTGGGACGACCGCTTACCCGATGGACGGACGATCTGGTAAAGGTTGCCGGAAACCGTTGGATGCAGGCCGCAATCAACCTTCCCCGCTGGAAATCATTGGAAGAGGCCTATGTCCAGCAGTGGACAAGCATAGGCTGAGGTGATGATGATTCTCTAAGTAGGAACAATCATAGATATTTATACGATTACTTTTGGGTATATGTTTTTATACACATTACTTGAAAAAAATGTAATTAAAAACTTTTATCTTAACTAGCTGTACCGACAGCCTTTTATTTGTTAATCGTAAAACTCGAAAAAGATGATTTCGATTTATGCGCTTAACAACATAGTTAACCATTTTATTTTTAGCTAGCGCTCCTTTTTGTGTTGCTAGTGTAAAAAAATAGTACCATTTTGATAGAAATACAGAAGTGGTCCAATTTAATCGCCGGTTCCATATTGGTTACTCTCCCCTAGGTATCCTCCACTTTAGTATAATTATGAAAATGGGCTCTTCACTCGTGAAGCTACTTAGTATAAATTGTATTACATACGATTGGTATCGTTTTCACATTTACGTCGGAGTATGTACTACGGATAATTAGGTAGGTAGGTATCTTCTGTTAAAGGTTTCCATTCCTATACCTATATTAGTACGTGAAGATATTCTTTGTATTCATTTTTAAGCTAATTTTGTGCACTTACAATATGTATAATTTTGGAATGTTTAGTTTGTAACGGTATAGCAAGAAGTTTACTTTTTTTTCTTATATTAGGTAATTTTTTTAGCTAAGCTAAAAATTCTTGTAAAAATCTAAGTCTGCAAAAAGTGACATGTAAAACACGTGTTAAATATTTTGCTATGCATATATGTTGCCCTTGTAAGTTAGGGCAAAATATTTTAGGTCAAAAGTCGTTACTTTAAGTCATTCTAGTCAAGAATATACTCGTAGAAAAAATATAAAATATGTATACAACACATATATGTATGGATGCATGTGTGTATGTTTATGTTTTTTTTTATATTTATATTATTATATAGTACGTATAAATGATATTTGCATCTATATATGTATCCCCGTATATCTGTGTAGTATAACATCTTGCAACCGACTACAATTTAAATAATTTATCTCATTATACACCTGCCACACACAAATCTCTGCATCACCCCAAGGTTGACTGGAAGAAAATGCCTATGGCATTAAGTCCGCCTTATGCAATGTATTTGCAGGAAGTATAAATAAATAAATAAACAAACATACACGACACCAAAAAAAAGCTAAATAAGTTTTGCCTATTGCGTATTATTCTTATATAAGAATAATACGCAATAGGCGTTTGTTTATGCGTACACAAGTTTAGAGATCTCATGATGATATACGTTGTCTTGACTCGATCTGTCATCGAACTGGCTACTTCAAATAAATTAACATGCCCGCAAAAAATTGAGTCCTTGTTAGAGCCATATTTGGTATCTCGCCCACGAACCGACCCGCATGTGACTTTGATTGCAATCACAAATTGTCATGTCAGTGACATTGTTCAAACATGACAAATCTCCAATGACAATGGAGTCACTGTCATATGAGATTTTTTGTGGAAATCGATTATCGGTAGTTCGATAGTTATATGCTTTTAATTCTTACAAGTTTATATTATGGTTCCTTATAGTGTCTTTCAAATCAAGACGTATAACAAGAATTGTTTGTGGTGAAGTATACTTGGCTATATTAAAAATCCATCGTCAGCTTTGTCAGGGTACTTTCTTCATGGTTTAGGAGAGCAAACCAGCAGACTGGTCACCTAATACAATATACCTCACACCTACTGTGACTACCGCTGCACCTGGACTTTGCAACTGAAGGGTCACAGTGCCGCCCTTTTATTATACCCCTCAGAACCACGTAGGTTGGGCACCGGTAAACTCACTCGATGAAAGTAGAGAAAGAATTATACTGTTTTTCTGTGAGGCCTTGTTTATCACTCCGGCCCTTAAATAAAATGGATTGTTACTTGTAATCGAATCTACAACATTTAATAATAAATAATATAATAACATTAATAATAATAATTCGACACATCTCACACACGGCCGTCTGATCCCAAACTAGTCAGAGCCTGTGCTATGATAACCAGACTGCTGATAAACACCGTGGGAGAGCCATGCTTCGGCACGAATGGGCCGGCTCGACCGGAGTGATACCACGAACCTTTAACAGACCACCGACCACCACCACCACCTTACAGAAAACCGGTGTTAAGCAATTCTTTCGTTGCCTTTCACTGAGTGAGTGAGGTTACCGGAGCCCAAATCCCCTCTCCTGCTGACTCAAGCGGGAGGGACTCCAAGGGCTGCAACGCACTTGTGACTTTTGAGTTGCAGGTGTCCATAGGCGGCGGTAGTTGCTTACCATCAGGGGACCCGTCTGCTCGTTTGCCCCCTTATACCAAATTACACCCAGACACAGAACAAATCATCATGCTCGTCACATAATTATTTGTCCTGGTTGGGAATCGAACCTCCGGTCAGTCAGTCAGTCAGGGTCACTAACCACTAGACTAGAATAATAATAAGTCATGTAGTAGTTAATGTGTAATATTACTATGTACGTTCATCTTTCACTCTAAATCCTTATCTAACGACATATGCCTGATTATTCTTAACATGATACGAATAATTTTGTTGCACAGATTCTACGATGAATGCAAACGGAGGTATAACATCAAGTTATGGAAAACTTTCACAGACTGCTTCAACTGTTTACCTGTTGCGGCGATAGGTAAGTGTTACTACTCATTATTTAATTTAGTTCATACTAACATTTGCACGCGGCTCCGCCCGCGTGTGTTGGTTATCGCGGTCAAGAGCCGTATGTTACTCGCTGATAATGTAGATTGCCACTGGTGAACGAATTTTTAAAATTGGTTTAGTGGTTTAGGCGTGAAAGCGTAACAAACAAAGTATGGATTTTGTTTTACAGAAACTAAACAAAACCTAAGGTATCTTATAACTCTACTTGTTGTAAATTGAGATCCAAGAAAAGGATTTCACCTAAACAAAAACACTTGCTCAAATAAATGAATGTTTCACCTTTGTGATATAAAATACCTGCGTATTTATATTGATTTTACGATAAACAGTGAACTTGAAGCCTATTTCCTATCCGATATGTTATCGGAGTACATCAACTTTGTTTTTTCTACATATACGCCATTTAAAGATTATCTAGAAGAGATAGCTAAATGCGATAAAGCTGGAAGTGTATTAGAGGTTAGCCGTTCCTCTCAGTTTTACCTGCGTTTATATTCACTGCTCTGCTACTAAGGGTTGTAGCGTGGTGTTTTATACAATTGTTTAACTTAAATTTCAATGTTTATACAATACGACAAAAATCATTTAAATCTCACTTATAGTTCTAAATATTATCGCATTTAAATTAAGTGTAAACGGTTTTATTCATGTTTATTTCCAAAGAAAAGCTGAATGGAATGTGTGAGTGAGGATATGGCTAGGAAGTAAACAGTGAGATGAGGAATGATAGAGTAGAAAGGAAGAATCATACTTACTGCGCCGACCCCCAATAAAATTGGGATAAGGGTAGGCAGATGATGATTCATATATGTATTTTTGGAGTTTCCCGTCTAGCTTCGGACCCGTGACGTTACGTCTGGAACCGTCTCGGCAGGACGCTTCACTCATTGAAATACTCACGTCAGACGTTAGTCAAACCGTCTGACTGTAATAAATATGAATACAACTCACAAAAGTTTATTATAAGACAGAACGTTATTCTAAAAAAAGTGTATTTTTGTCACTCCATCAAAGTATGTTGTCACAGACATCCATCACACGGTATGTTTAGATGTTGGTTTTAGTTCAATCGAGTTTGTGAGTGACGGATATCGTCTGCATGTTGATTGTAGCAAATCTCGATGTTTTGATTTTTCATCGTTCAGCTATCGGTCAGGACTTGAAATTGAGTGACGCGCGTGATTGTCCGTGGATGTCATAAGAGGCGAGTAAGGGAGAAAACTACGCAGAACAACAGCACTGCAGAGAGAATGAAAACTTAGCACAAACCCTATACCAACCCGTCTGGCCAGCGTGGTGTAATAGGCCAAGACCTCCTTTTTAAGGAGAGGCCTATGTCCATCAGTAAACTATTAAAGGCTGTTGATGTGATGTGCGTGACCGTGTAATGAGTAAAATAACAATGAAGGGAATCCGGTAGATAAGACTCAGGTGTATTCGGAGGGAAAACATAGGGGTCATGTCAAACAAAATGTTTGTCAAACAACATGTCCGACAAAACAACAGACTGTCAGTATTATCTATAAATGTGACCTTGTTATTATGACCCCAATTGGATTGATTGGATTGCCACAGCTCTTGGGCATGACCTACCAAGCAAAATAGTTTATTTTTGTATTTTGCATTAAACAGCTCGGTGAAAATTAGTTTTGAATGCTAACACTACAGAGTTTCTGATAGACACGATACTTTTAAACATAATGTCAGTATTTCATCTAAGTCTACTTTTGCGGTCTAGAGTCTAGCTATATAGTATCTCGGCGAGTCTTATACGGTACAGTAAGGCGCTCGGTGAAAGCGGGCGCTGTACGCTTCTAGAATCGTTATTACAATAAGATCTTAGTTGAGAGGCACTTGGATTCTTATATCACATTAAATGTATATCTTATGGCAAAAGCCGTTCATCCATTATTGAGTGCAGTTGTAAATAATGAAAAACGTTGTACGAATTTTAAAAAGGCAAAATCCCTTTACAATAAAATGTTTTTTTTTAATTATTTTTATCTTCTTGATAGTAAGAAAGTACTTCAAGTTTCCAGGGTTCCAGCATTTTCCTAATCACCTTATGCATAAATTGCTATCTCTTTCCTAATCATATTCTGAATCAAAGGGAAAAAGAAAGTTTCAAGATTTTTAACTACGGAACCTGCTTCGTAAACTGGTAATACTGATAGGTAAGGTATATTTAGGGATGTAATAAATTATGTTCCCGTTGCGGCTAAACTTTGTAAGTATCTTTCGAAATTGTACCTGCTCCAGTTTAAGGACTTCACAAAAGTTCGTGAGTTTGTAAAATATATAGAGCAGGAACAGAACACTTTGATGGTACATAGTTGTTCGTTACATAGACTCTCATTAAAATTTCGATAAAGGATTTTGCTTTTTTTATGTTTAAAGAATTAACAGATCATTCATGGCTCTTTTATTTTAGTACTAGCAAAACTTAAGTTAGATCATCATCAACAGCCTTTAATAGTCCACTGCTGGACATAAGCCTCTCCTTAGAAAGGAGGTTTTGGCCTACTATAGTAGTTACATATACTAGTTAGATCATGCAATTACAATACTAGTTATGAGATTAAACTAGGTTCAAATAAATGTGAAACGAGTTATTTATCCTTTAAAATCTTAGTACCTGGATGACCATGCTTTGCTCGGTAATTCTATATTGGTAAATTTTCTAAAAATGAAACGTAGCTAGATCGATTAAGCGCCCCGAAACCCCCCTGCATACTGTATCTTGTATTTTTATATATACATAAATACAAGAATTGCTCGTTTAAAGGTATTAGATTGTTGCAGTACGTCAAAATTTCTATAATCACGTGACTGAACTATTTACCAGAACCAGTTATGAAAGCGATATAAAGCGATATAATCACGCCTCTGTCCCCAAAGAAGTAAACTATTAAAAACAGACACTAATGATATTCACACCATGTTATAGGAATGTAGCATTTCGACGTCAAGAACAAAAAAAAGCAATTAGGTGGAAAATTTGGGAGTATGTAGAAAGAATAGATAAAATGGTAGGAAAAAAAATGATGAATTATAAAAATGGGGTCCTGTGGCTAGGTGGTAACCGAGTAGGTTAACATAGAGTTAAGCAATTCTAGCGAGGTCGCTATGGATGGGTTACTATTTCTTAACACATTGAAACCACTCTGTGCCTCAGAGATCACGTGAAGTCGTCGGACCCGGTGGCCATACCAACATTTGTGGCAATCGTTACGGGTAGTTGGAACCCTAAAAGTCCGACAACAGTATTACTACAGAACTTCGATAGCGCCTACGTAGGTCTGATAGCAGTCGCTCCGTGTAAATAATCGAAGAGCAGCCGTATCGTAGTAAACTTAAAGCTGAACCCAACCTAGTTTGAGAAAACAGAAGAAGAAGTAACCTAATTATTTCATCATCATCAACAGCCTTTAATAGTCCACTGTTGGACATGGGCCTCTCCTTAGAAAGGAGGTTTTGGCCTACTATACCACGCTGGCCAGACGGGTTGATATAGGGTTTGTGTCAAGTTTTCCTTCTTTTTGCAGTGCTGGTGTCCTGCGTTGTTTTGCGCCCTTAGTCGGCTCTTACGAAACCCACGGGATCAATTGGGGTAGTGACATTCCGTATTCTTAATCCGTCACTACACGGACCTAATTATTTGCAAAAGCAAAAATACAGAGTAACTTCATTAGATTAGAGCTTTGTAGCGCCCTAGAACTTTGTAGCTTTAGTGACACCAACATTGTTACTTCTAAGACTTCACTATAATCTCCCGATGCAGATTTTTATCATAATTTGTTACATATTATACATGTGTTAGTCAATATAGAAGTTGCGGTAAATATTTTTCAAACTGACCCTCATATTTGCATGCCCTCGGTTCGCTGATTGATTCAATTACTCACCCATCGAACCGTGATGAACCTCGCTTAACAGATATGCACTGGAAACCTTAAAATGGTTGGCCAGTGGAATATTTTCGTACACATCCTGTGTAATTTTAACCAACATTTAGATGGTTAGTTACATCATGAGAACTTTACTATTACAAGGTAACTTAATTATTTTTCTAATGATGTGATTTGTTATTAGTAAATACTTAAAATATTTTTTTATTTGAATAGTCGTCGTTTTTGGGAACTATGCCAACATCAATATGAATAACAACAGCATAATAAGCTCCTTTCGGAGTGGGTGTCTTAAGAGACGACTGAGGGAGCAAACTACGCAGGACAACAGCACTGCAAAGAGAAGGAAAACTTGAAACAAACCCTATACCATCCCGTCTGGCCAGCGTGGTATAGTAGGCCAAAACCTCCTTCCTAAGGAGAGGCCTGTGTCCAGCAGATGACTGTAAAAGGCTGAAGGATGAATAAGCTCCTTTATATAAGATGTTCCTTTTACATACATATTTGTATCGCTCAACACTGTCTTTAAGTTTTGCATTATATGTCCTGTCGTGTCATAAGTCCGAAATTATATCGAAAAAAAATTGATACTACGTGCGGCATATTTTGATTTTAAATTCTGACTGACATTTTATTCAGGTAGGTTCGATTTAGGCTGGCTCTTTATTAAAATCTACAAACTCTTGACATAAACCACGTTCTAGACGAAAATACAATTTCATAAATCTGTTTTGAAAAAAGTTAAAGCTTCAATATTGCCTTATTCGCTAAAAGTTTTGATGAAACTTTAACAGCTGTTCGTCTACTTTGTTAAATATATAAAGAAGAGTATAAATATGTGTCTCGCTCACCACAACACGAAGGTCAGACATACGATGTATCTATATTTAAGTAGTAGATCGCGATACACACTAACATATAGTCTTATTATCTATTTATAGACTCCAGAAATTAAATTTCTGGTATTCAAGATGTGCCTTATGTGAAGATTGAGAATGTTACTCTAAATAAAAACAACTCCCATCTTTGTCGAAAAGGAAAAAACCGCCCCAGAACCTTT